TAAGTGCATCCCCATTTTGGAGCTGTCCCTAATCAAAAGAAAACCTTAAATCAGCCTGCATGAATAGCTTCTCTGTGGCTGCACCACAGAGATGAAGAGAGAGATGGGGCCTCATTTGGGAAAGCACAGCAATGCTTAATTCTGTCTTATTAACAAGCATAGCCGCTACACATTGTCTGTATACAATTCCTGGGGTGCTGTCTGTGTGGAGTTTGTATGTTCTGCACTCGTTTATGTGTGTTTCCTCCTGGTGCTCTGGTTTCCTCCCACAGTCCAAACACATGCTGGACAGGTTAACTGGTTCCTGGGAAAACCGGCCCTGATGTGAGTGTTGAACTGGTTACTTGCCCTGTACTGGGTAAAGAGTTTAAAAATGGATGGATGGGTTACCGTAAAACTGCCTTTACTTCACAATTAATCACATGGGCATCCATGATTTGCAAGAGATATACAACTAATCTTGTTTTCATCTTGGTTTGAAATTATTCTTCTACAACCTTGAACACTCCTGAGTAGTTGTTAAATTTCATGTCCTGATGCTGGGGTGACTGCAAGCCTGTCTGTTCCAGGCCAGAGTCCGACTGCTGACAGCAAGAGTAACTGTACTGAGAGGCTTTCAAATGAAACAGCCACACTAGGAAACTCACGTCAGAGCTCTAACTGGGACTCGTAATCTAGATGTGAAAAACAATTCATTAAACACATCATAATACTGACAAGTACTTTATAAGTTTCTCAATGTCTGTTACCTTTGATAGTGAGTGGAACAACTCCAAGTCTTGTCACACGACTGTCTTTCCTCCTGTAATAACACCCATACAGTCCCTCATCAGAGAAGGTTGTGCTGCAGAGTCTCATGGAAAAATTCTCCTGTGAGACTCCCTCTTTGGAGATGTTAACCCTGAGCTCAAAGGCAGGGCCAGGGTAGACTGTTTCATGACTGAAAACCACCACGTTTCCTGACTTGTGTCTCCACAGAATATCGATCTGATCACTGGAGTTTCCAACAGCTGCTGTTCCATTGCAGGGCAAGACAACGCACTCCCCAAATCTCCCTGAGATTGAGGTATCTCCAGAGACTGGGCGAGAGAGGATAAACATAATACAAGACACTTCATCTTTGTCGTAAAGTGTGCAGAGTTCAGGCAGATTACCTGTTTAGCTATTCAGCTGACACTGTGATTTGCTCAGACAGCTGGACATTAATAATAATAATATTAAATAGCTATAGCTCTTTTCTGGACACCCCACTCAGAGCTCTTTCCAGAGGGATGAAGCCAGTTCAGAGAGGGGGGTTATTAGGAGGCCATGATGGGTAAAGACCAGGGGGAAATTTAACCGGAGTAACACCCCTATTTTTTTGGGAACCTTATTGTTTCTAAGAGAAAATAAAATAAATGACTGACATGCCGTAAAAGAAAACCAAGTTTAACTGTGTGGACAGTGTATGCGTCCTGCAAGACGTCTTTGATTTAAAGCAATATTTTTGTCACACTGCCATCATTAAGAATCACAGTGTTCCATGAGAAAATACTGTTGTTATTTAAAGTTGTTGGGTGTGTTGGAACTCCATTTTAATTGGTCTTATTAACATGACATCTGGAAAAATTAACTACTAAGCTTGGCACGTGTCACTCAACAAATACAGGACCTATAATCAAATTTAAAAACAAGTAGGTCTAAGCTTTACCGTCAACAATCAAGACAGAACATAAAACGGCATTCGAACCTAAAATATTGTATCGACCGTGGGTTTTGGTTAGGGAATGGAGCAGGCGTGGGACTCAGGGAATGGGGTTGAGCAACACATTTAATAACTCAAATCAGGAAAGGTACACACACAGGGACAGGGGTTACAGCGCTGCACCTACACTAACATACACACACACGAAGGGAAGAGACTGTATCCCACCCTCCGTCCCACTATATACAGTCCGGTAGTCCCCAGGTGCTGTTCTCAGCCTGCCCTGCGTGGCGCTACATTGTAATACATGTTACATGTTTCACGTTCTTTATGGAATTTAAATACAATTTAAACCCCACCCCAAAAGTACTAAAAGAGGGAGTATTATTAAAACCTTTGACTTATGAATATGAAATTTACCCAAGATGACTAATAAATTAATTACTGTATAAATAAATGTTCTTTTTTTTCGAATTTCCTCTTATATAGTACAACAAAATATCAAAATCCTTAATATAAATTCTTAGTATTCTATATTTCCAGAGCATTCCTATGACGTGAATTGAATGTGCTCTGTCTGGCGATCTCTGTCGCTAAGGTTGGCGCAAGAGGTAGCCAGTTTAAGAAGCACTTAGTGATTAACGAGTGGGTCAGGGAGCACGTAGATAACGTTCTACTTTAGTTACGATAGGTTTTGGGAAACACTCGTAAATTAACGATCGATCTTAAGAGCAAGTTTACGATGTTCTTAGCGCTACGATGCTTTTTGGGAAACTCACCCCTGAATAGTCAGCTTTTGCTCATGGTAATCTCCAAGTGTAAGTTACTGAGTTTAAGATGGAAACAGAGGAGATCATATTAAATAGGGATGAGTATGAGGCTAAAAGCAGTCTCACACAGTGCGTGTAGCTTACTTATTTTTGTTTTTGTTTTTTAACCAAACCTGTAGTGTATCTTTTATATTTAGGCCAAATTTACAAAACATTTACAAAAAACATTAAAAAGTAAATAAATCCCTCCATCACTTTATTTAGCCCTTTGAGAAGGAGTTAACTGGTTAATTTGTAACTGAAGCCGGTGTCAGTGAGAGGCACAGATGAGGCTCTGTCTTCCTGTGTGCAGTCAGACAGAATCTAGTGAGTTTGTTGTCCTGGTTTGTGCTTCGCTCTGCTCTGAGCTCGACCGACTACAGTTTCCCTGCTGTCAGTGTGAGCCCTGCCTGAGCACAGACACCAGAGAGAGCAGCCAAACTGCACAGCTCCTCTCTCTGTGCTCATAGTTCACACCCCTGAGCTACTGCAGGACCCTGAGTCTGGGGGTCTGTACTCTCTCAGCCACAAGCACTTCCTCCTACTTCAGAGGGACCAGATGAACAGCTCAGTCTGCTGTCACCCATTAGAAACTGCTCTTTCAGTTAGTGAGTCTGCAGGTGACTATTCATTAGAACCATTAAACACTTTAAGCTGTGGTTTGATTTGAGGATGGCGCTGACAATCCTCAAATTCTGTGGACACAATATTACACAAGACATGTTCTGTTTGAAATCCTTTACACTTGTTGGAAGAACTGTAGTTTTTCAGTGTAGCTCACTGATCACAGCTGTGTCTTGAGAGAAGCCAGGGTATCGGCTTCAACAACAGGGTGGGTCAGCTTGTTTTCCAGTGTTGCATGTGTAGGCACTGACAGAATCGGTAAACCCAAACAACGGTGGCGATAATGAAAATACTGTGCTTTAATCAAGGTTGACGACCAACCCAGCTCATCCAGAACTCGCTGTGAGACTGGTCTGTCCTCCCTCGTCGTCCTGCGGGTGACTCTCCCTCTCTCTGCCCTACTGTCCTCCGGCTGTGTCTCCTGTCTCTTCCACAGAGCAGATCAGTGTGTGGCTGTGGTCCTCAGGACACGGTAATCAGGGAATAGGTCTGTCAGTGCAATGTGTAAGAGTGTAACAGGTTAGACCCACAGCTGATGCCGGTCAGGTGACATTTACAGAAGCAGGGCCTGCGCTGTTAACAGTTCAAACAAAGGACGATTAGAAGAATTCCTGTTTTAAAATCTCATTGCCACAATTGTATTATGAAGATGATAATCTTGTAGGTGTATAAGCCTCCTATTTAAAATGAGATGGCACCCTGCATTCCAGAAATATATTTCACAATATTTACATAAGAGGAGAATGCATCAGGTGGCACAGTTCTTATATTTATTTATATTGGGGTTTTATGCACATTGTATACATGGACAAATATTCTATACACAGTACAGTATGTTTCAAATTGAGAGGTGATCAGTGCTGCTGCTTTTGTTGAGTTCGAGTTCGTGGGTCCATTTGAGGGTGCAGAGCAGAGAGAGCACAGCCCACTGAGTACAGGTCTGACCTCAGAGCTCAGCCAGAGAACTAGTTATCTTCGAGCAGTGACGAAGCCTGCATTCGCATACTGGTCTTCTTCCTGGAAACAGGCAAAGAAATACAAATCAGAACATAAGTTACAAACGGGAGGTCTTCATTCAGCCCAGGTAGCGCTGGTGGTTAGCAGGTCATTGATCTGAGGATCTCACCCAGCTGTGTCCTGAGAGAAGCTTCAACAACATGGCTGGGCAGCTTGTTCCACACTCCCACCACCCTCTGTGTAAAGAAGCACCTCCTGTCCTGACTGGAGGAGCTCATCCAGCTGTGTCTTGAGAGAAGCTTCAACAACATGAGTCTTGGAGGAGACTGCGATGTTTACACTTGTTTACATTTGTCCACACTTTTTTTTACCTACTTATCAATCATGTTTGGGAAGAAATGCGACAGGAAACATTTTCTCTTCCTGCTAGCCACCATCAACCCAACTGCAAAACTAAAACACTCCATAGTCCTTCAAAGAGGTATTTTTTAAAAAAAAACGTTGTTTCCAATACTTATACAATACAGGGTCACAGGGGAGAGCTGTGGTCTATCCCAGCATGCAACACGCACAAGACAGGAGTCTTGACAGCATTACTTCTCAAAACCTGCAGTGGGGAGATGCTTCACAGTTACAATAGTTTCTAGATTCGAGGAGACCTACAACTGCCTTATTAAAGGAGCTATTATACCTGCACACGACTGCTTTTTCGCTGGGGTCAGACTAGACTGGCTAGAATGTCTAGACTGGCCATTTTCTGCACCTGTTCAGAAAAAAAACACCTGTTTTGGTGAATTGATCATCGCAGGACACAAAGGCATTGAGATTTACGTAAAGTTCTGCTATACTGCTTGAACTTGACCTCTGTTGGTTTAAATGGTATTTCATTGTAAGGCAGACTTGCTGAAAGGCATCTTAAGCCACTTCTTGTCAACATCTGAACTGAAGGTTCATAGTTTTATAACCAGATTGCTTTGTAAGACTTTTTACAGCAGCATTAATGTTTAAATGACACTTACTCGTGATTGTCTTTGGTCAATAATAGTTTGATTTTAGTCATTGTGTATGACTATTATACAGCTCTTTGATTTAAAAAAAATAAACCTTATAATAGTAATAATTGTGTTCCGATAAAGTTGAGATTCTGTCTGATCGCTGTTCTTGCGGTTACAGAGCAGGCTGAGAGTATGAAGACTCGATGACCTGTTCTTTGCTGGAAGACACAGAAGACGCAGCCGGAGGACAGCAGGGCAGAGAGAGGGAGTGTCAACAGCAGGACGATGAGGCAGGACAGTCCAGTCTAGGGCGGTGTAATGACAGTGAACAGGTGAAAGGGAAGAGTCAGGGGTGGGAAAGAGTTTGTCACAAAGGCAGAACTACCAGCCTGCGGTGAGAGAGTCTCCGAGAGGGGAGACAAGTATTCATGCAGAACATCCTCTTCGCCATTAGAGCTCAATCTAACTCAATTCAAGAGCCCCCGTCTCTCACCTGTTTTCGCTTGTTCAGTCCGTATCCTATCATGGACAGCAGGCACGCAGCCAGGACAGTGATCCCAGAGGCCAGTGCTATCTTGTGCCACTGGGACGTCCCATCTCCAGCACTGCAGAGTCCTGCAATAACAGCACCGACGCACTGCGTAAGGAATGGAACACTGCAGACATGCCCTGACCCCTGCAGAAGAGTACAGTACAATATACTGGAGCTTCTTAGTGTCTCACAGTGTGTGTGATATCCTATAATACACACTGATCTGCTCCTCTATCACCTCAGTGTGTGATACAGTATAATCCACACTGATCTGCTCCAGTCTCACCCCAGTGTGTGATACAGTATAATACACATTGATCTGCTCCAGACTCACCCCAGTATGTGCTACAGTGTAATAATCACTGATCTGCTCCAGATTCACCCCAGTGTGTGATACAGTCTAATAATCACTGATCTGCTCCAGTCTCACCCCAGTATGTGATATAGAATAATACACATTGATCTGCTCCAGTCTCACCCCAGTGTGTGATACAGTATAATACACAATGATCTGCTCCAGACTCACCCCAGTGTGTGATACAGTATAATACACACTGATCTGCTCCAGATTCACCCCAGTGTGTTGTAGTGGAAATCTAATGAGTTAATTGATTCTTAAAAATGTAGAGAGCTTTGCAAAAAAATATATTGGTGCTTTTAGATAATATTTCAAGGATATAACTGCTATGCTACAGTATGTGCAGAATTTTAGAAAACAGTTCGTCAACAAGGTACACTGTTTGGGTTAGTTTAGAAGACAATGTACCAAAACAATATATGCTGTCTGGGTCATTAGAATTAGCTGAAAGTAACAGATAAACTTTGAATAACAAATCTAGTGTTTTTCTCTCGCTCTATGAGGTAATTTGTTTTCTTTTAGAGAAAGGGGAAGTTTTAGAAG